TCATGCTATAGAATGCGTTGACTATTGTCACGTTAAGAACAAAATGTAAGTTGTTATTCTCAGTGAAAATGTACAGTATCTTTAACAGATAGAGGAGCAATGGTGGCTCTGCTAGTCAATCTCATTATGTAGTTGGTGGTGAGTGGTGACTTTCGTTTGCAATGTTTATATTTATGTAAAAATTAAATGTTATATCTGATTTTTCAATGAGGATGTCAATTTAATAATGATGTATTTAACAGCGGCGCCCAGGTGGTTGAAGTATTCAGTCGTATCAGAACTGAGAACTAATGCACAGTTTGTAAATTGATAGGCAATTACCTAATGTGCTCATGAACTATGATTAAATACGAAATGTGAGCACTATTTTAACTTCAGTTCAGCTGCACATTTGCGTGATACATTTACATAAAAGTCAGCGATAATTAAGCCCTGAATAAGCTTCAGATGTAATCAATACACTTTACGACGTATAGATCTTGTCAAAAGCATCAGGAAATTACCATTAAAATCTTTTCGACTTTAATGATGATCATTAATGTAAGTCTAGCCCTGATAAGCATTATCAGCTCATTCTGTTTTTTCATTTCATAGATTTTATAAAATCAATTAGTGTCTTACGATTATGTATTACTAATACCATGTGGATGTTTTTGGAGTAGGCTTATGTGAGTGCACCCATAAATTCGATTAATAATTTCCAAAAACCGAGCTCCCGCACATGACACTGTATGCTCGCAGAGATAGGGAAAGGAGGTGGACCGACGCTGGTAACAACTAATGGGTTTTTTTGGAAGATTTGTAAGGAGAAGATGAAAAACTCTCGTGTAGTTGTCGTAGCAAGAACGTAATACGGAGGTAGCAATTAAACTAGACATAGTACATCTTTGTAAAAATGCTAAAATGCCTTAGCGCAGCATATGGGTCCGGCGATTGAACCATTGAGCAATTTAAGTAGTGAAAAAATTAATTGTTCTCGTTTTTTGCTGTTTTAATTTGATCATGCCGACGAGCCAGTGAGGGAGAACTTAGTAGTTGTCTGGGCATTCTCTGCTGGAGTTCACACAATAATTAATGCAGCATCTTGTTCGAGCTGTTGGGCTTAGCCAGGCAATAAAAACAAATGGAGACCAGCAGTGTGAATCTGTGTTGGGATAGCTTGGAAGGAGAGTCTTGCGTTCTGTGGATCTCTCGCGTAACAAGAATAGCTTGCAAGATCAAGAAACTACGACTGACAGCTTTAGGCCGCCATTGGTTTAACTATAATGTAGCCCGCAGTGGCATGTCTGGGTCGTAAAGTACAGACTCTGAAGGACGGAGGCGCTCGGCTGAAAAACAGGTAACACGTCAATCATCTCAGATAAGTTTATGTGATACCTGTGTGTGTGTGTGTTGTGTGTGTATAGTGTGTGGAATTGTATGTGGTTGGGTGCGTCGTCGCAGTACTTGGTCTGCTGTTTTATAGCGAGTGAATGCGGACCAGCACGCGGATGTGTCATGCCTTTTGCTTTTTCAATGTTTTTTGTTTTTGCGTGTGGAGTGACAGACTATTGAAATGTGATTAACCCGGAGAATGCGTTGGAGTGGAATTATTCACGGTTCGTTCTTTGACAGTAGATATTTGACCTCTTTTGAAATGTGGCTTCCACCACACCTCCAACTCACACACACACACACACTCACACACTGCTCTGTCCTTGGTGTTAGTTAGATACTGGTACTAGAGAGCTGCAGCCTGGAAGGGTTAATCGATAACTATTCCTGTCTGTCAAGTGTCTATGACCTCTTCCTCTTCTGTCTATCTTCTCT